CTTTTATTAAAAAAAAATTTATAATTTTTAGAAAAAAAATATATGTATATACAATAAGTAGATATACAAAAAATATCGACTAAAAATTAAGATTATAGTTATCTTATAATAATAGGATCCTTATCGAGAGTATTTTGTAACTTAACATATTATATATTTTTGTAAATATTTTTTTTAGAAAACAAAATAATATTATGGTTAACTTCTATGCATGCAAATATTCCAAGGAAAATATCGACAATGATCAATTATTACTTTTAAATCTTAAATCATGTTAACTATTAGTTATGAAAAGGTTAAACTTTGTTTTAATTAATATTTGACCATTTTTTATGAATATTTCTTATTACATAGTTTTTATTGTTTACTAATTTCGAGCCTTAATAATACCTTAATAAAGCTTTCATAGTATATTATAATTATAATTAAGATAATCCTCAAATAATACATTATCGTACAAATTATAACTAAAAATTTTGCTTTAAATACCTAACATTAAAATTGAAAATAGAACTATATTTGTTATTCATTGGTATTAGATTTATAAAGTAATATAATGTTATTAACAAATTATTCTTTATTTTTTAGAACCTTAAAATATGGCTACTTCTGATCTAGAATATCTGCTATTGCAAGGGCAAAAACTTTGCAAGGACACTGATACATTTAAACCAGTATCAAAAATACATAAATCATTACGTCAGCTATGCCGAAATGCTGACCATGCTCCAAAACAATCAAATAGAGGGAGTGATGAACAATGTGCAAAAGAATTTCTAGCAAATCGTGGTCTAGACCTTTCTGGCTATTCTAATGTTCTTAAAAAATTATGTACATATCGTGACAATACTATCACACCATGTGATTCTAAGCCAGTGATGGACTATTCCAGTAGTGTAGAATCCTTAATGGGAAGACACATTGAAGACTACATCAATAATTTAGAAGCAAATGATAACAAAGATGCTGATAATTATTTACAAGACCTTCCAATGAGCTGGAAAAACATTAAAAAAGATATTGTTTACAACGAGTTTGCTTCGGATTCATATGATGTATCATTTTGTCTTCAGAATTTATTAACTATCAAAAATACATATTTTACTTTTGATCCTAATCTCAATAATCCCAATGAGTCAGCTTGTCATTTTCCTTTTGTCAGCGATATTCAAAACTACATTAAGTCAAAAGAATGTGGTGAAACAAACAAAGAATTAATTGAATATTTCTTGGAAACCATACCTAAAAGTAATGCTAATAATGCAACAGTAGCTCATATTTGGAATGTAGTAAAATACATGTACAATATAATTCCACAAAAATCACCTTACGGATCGTTTAATGAAAGGTTTTCTGAAGAAAATCAAACAAAACTAGTCAAAAATGCTAAGAGTTATCTAGAAGATAAATACCAAGCTTTTCTCATTAAAGAGACTAGACATTTAAATGTTGCAAATGATGATAATTACATGGCAGCAATCATAAGTTCTTATGTATTTATGAACACCGGCAGGCCGGCAACACAACAAAATGATTTTCATGTTGATGAACAATCAATTTGGCCATTGCTTTATTTCAGTATAAGATGTGGAAGAATGGATGTTGCTAGTTATTTTATTAAAAAATCTGGTTTAGCATTAGATGATCTACTAAATGTATTCATTCACTTAAAAGAAGCAAATTTTACAGAGCGTGTTGCTTCTAATATTGGTGTTACATTAAACAAATATTACAGAACTCTTCCAGCATATGATAATGCTTTCAGGAAAACAATATTCTCTTTGTTGGGTATGGTGGAAGCCAATATGGAAAAAAAAGCTGTGTCCAAGACAATTGAAGACAAACTGTGGATGTTGTTAGTTGAACATTTTGCGAGTAAATACATGGAAGATTCAAATGGATTAGATTACTGTTCATTACAAAGATATATTTTAGACAATGGTAAACCTTATAAAGAACAGCCTCATGTATACTTTGAACTATTATTTTTGATTGGACAATTTGAAAGTGCTATAGACTTCTTATACCGCAGTCGTGAATTTTCCAACCACGCAGTACATATAGCTATAGCTTTAAATGAAAAACATTTATTAGCCACCCCTGAATATTTACAAGCCCCGTTTTTATCTAATGAGAATGTTGATGTTAAGTTTGTGCGCCTAAATTATACAAGATTGATTTTATTATTTTGCAACGAGTTAAAATCGAACTATCCTCATTATGCTACATATTACTATTATTTCTTAAGAAATGTAAAAAGTCCAACTCTAAATGAAAACCTGTTTCACAAGTGCGTTGCAGATCTTGCAACATCATTTGATGGGAACATGTGTGATTGGATGTTTGGATGTTTAGACGATATGAAAGAAAACAGTATTTTACACAGTATCTTTGATATTGACACTATTACAGCTATAATCGATAAAACACTAGAATTAACATTGGAAGAAAATAAACCTGAAGTTGCTTTTAAACTTTATAGCTTGACATCTGATAAGGCTGCATATGGTATCATGAATAACATTCTGAGTTTTGCTATTTACAATTATTATGATATTTTTGGTCGTGCTATGACTGAAGACAAGTGTAACATAGTCAATAAAAACTTTTATGACCGCGTGTACTCTTATTTGGAAGATTTGAACAATAAAAAATTATATACACAAGAACCAATTGGTCCCATATCAACATTTATCATCTTACGTAACATGTATTTATTTTTCTATTATTCTTCTAAACATAAATTTCTTTCAGCCATTGAAAAGGCCAATGATACAGGTCTAGTACCATTAACTAGCGAAGATACTAAACAATGTTTGAATAATTGCACCAAGTATGGTGAAATTATACAGAGAAACATAAATAATTTTATCAAGTCATTAGTCAGTATATTATGTAAAGAACATTCTAATATTTTAAAACATCAAAATACCTCTATGGAAGAAGATTCATTAATCGAAGAAGAAAACAGTGATGTTTTTGATCAAAGCAAAGAGATTGGATGGACAAAATGGAAACTTCAGAAAACCATTAGAGTTATATATTTATTCGCTGCAAAATTGCCTGTACATATTGCTCCTGATGCAGTTGAATATATTTTGAACAATGCATCAAACATGCAACTCGACTGATAACTATTAAAAAATTATATTAAGTGATAAAATATAGATTTATATTATATTTACTTGATGAAAGTTTTCATAATAATATATGAACTAAAATATTTTTCATTCAATTTAAATTTTTAAAGCATACATATTCATTATTTAATAAGGATAAAAATTGTATTATAATGATTTATTTCTGAATTTTTTATGTTGTTGATAATCTTTATTTAATATTTATTGAAACCGCATTAAAAAAAAATTGTAATTATTTTTGATTATTATAATGAAAAATTGTGTTTTAATTTTAATAATAATATAAGTCAGTTAAAAGATTACAGTGTGCATTTTGTAAAAATTTTCTTTTTGAATAAATATGTTCAACGTTATCGAAAAAATACATTTTGAGCTAATTGGTTTGTCATAACTTAAAAGACCTTATTATAAACAATTTATTAAGGTGTGTTATAAATATCAGAACTATACAATATAATAATCTTTTATGAATAAAACTTTTACTTGTACCCATAAGTTATGTATATTATTTTAAAAATGTTAGTAAGTGGTAGTTGTAAGTTTTTGATTCAAAATGAATCAAATTTGGGTCTTTTGACAAAGAAAAAGAAAAATTATTTTGATATAATGGTTTAAAAAAGGAATGCTGAACTGGTCAGTTATATTGAATTGATGTTAAAAACATCATTTATATACCAAATCTGAAAACCAATATTATCCACATGCACTACACTAAATGTTAGCATCAGGTAACCAAAATTAATACAGATGAATTTTTACGGCGGACAATGTATATACTTAATTATAGGTAAGTGTTAAATCTATATGATCAACATTTAGAATAGTTAAATAAACCTTTGTAGTTATTCTTTATACATCAATCCCATGAAAAATGCCTTCCACAGCCAAATGCTTGTTATCAGGCCTCAGGGATAATATTTTAAATGTTTTCATTTTTATTTCTGATTTTACTTAATGTATATCTGTATACCCTGAACATACCCAAACCATATTGATTATTAATATTACTGAATAGTTATTATCTATCTCCTATACAAAATAAAAAACATAATTAATATATTAAAGATGAAAAGCACCTTTTGTGTTTTTAATCTCTTGTCATCAACAAACTCAGACACAATATAAAGCAAGCAATTATACAATTAAAATTATCGTGGCAGAATTGTGTAGAAATGAACCACAGGATATGGACTTCATGAAATAAACAATATTTCATAATTTTTACCAATTATGGAAGTTTATAATCAATGAAATCATAAAAATTAAATATGCATACTATCTAAATTACATCAATAAACAGAATAATAAAACAATTATTAATGTTATTAACAATAATTGTAATGTAGCAATTATTAAAGCTGATCCATGAAATATTTCAATTTTAAAGTAAAAAAATAAAATCATAATTTAAATTTAAAACATCCTTCAAATTTCTTAATATTTTATTATAATTTTATTATATATTACATAAGAAAATTATTAAGTCCTTTTCAAACTAAATTTTTTTAATTAATACAATTCTTACCTAAAATTACTATAATGAGCTAACTCAATCCAGGAAATATTATTTTTATATAAATTTGCAGGGGTATATAATCAAAAATACATTTGCTTAAAAAAAAAAAAAAAAATTATAATTTAAAACAAAAGAATAAGATTTAACATTTAAAAAAACATAGTACAGAAAATATCTAAGTGTGTTAATAATAACATTATAAGACTTAAAATGTACCTTCACTTTTCACTTCATATGTGGTGAATTTGTTTTTCATATTTAACATATTGATAGTAAACATTTTTTTTTTTTTCATTATTATTATTTGGGTAGAACAAATTAATATATTAATAATTAAACTTACATTAATATTAAAAACATTAACTAATATTAATATTAAAAATGTTAATTACTGTAGTTATGACTACATTGTATTATTTCATCTTCTGTGATTTTTCCATTAGAATACATTATCTTACTGAGTACTCACAAACCTCTTCTATTCATTTTTAACAGCCCTTCAATGTTTCCCTTGAGAAGAAGTAATTCGTTTTTAGTTTGTTCATCAAATGATATGTCCATAGTAGCACCAGCTCTAGGTAATATTGATAAAATCTAAAAAGAATAAAAATATTGTCTACATTTCCAATGTCTAGGTCAGGTAATGTTGAGTTTTAAAATGTAATTACATTTCCATTGGCTAATGGTACACTGACTGTAGCCATGTCATCTCTAGAAACAGATGAAACCATAAGCGGACTTCCAGTCATTGAAAGTGCGACTTCTCCTTGATTTGGACGCCGCATCATTGATATTGGTTCATGCATATTAACTTTTGGTGTGACTGTCGCTGAAGCAGGTACAGGTAGTCGATTAATTGGAGTCTGAAATAATATATACATATTTTTTTATAAGATTTAAATTAGTAGATTATTTAATATAAAAAAATATTAAGAAATCTATTTAAATATGAATGAAAAGTTTAAAAATTGCATTATTAATCAATTGAATCAATATACAAAAAGAGGATAATAAATTGCCTTTTTGTAAATATATCCAATAAAAATATAAGTACTTAATTAAAATCTAGTCATCGAGAAACATATTTAATTATTTACAATTCTGAGCCTAGCCCAAATATTAGTGTAACAATATTTTATTTGAGGTTTAAGAGAACATCTTACACACAAGAGTTATCTCAATTATATTAACATATAATATACTAAAATTTATGTTCAATAGTTACAATTTTGTGTTAGCTTTAATATTAGAGTGTATTAGTTTATTATGAAACATACGGATAAAAATATTATCAGTGTTCTCTCATTTTCTATGGTGTTTGGTTTTCAAACAAGTTAAGAGCATTTTATAAAAATATTAATGTTTTACATATTCATAACTACAACATACCAAAAACATAAAATATTGAAAAAACCAATGAGAATAGAGATAATATTCAAAACTTTAAATTCATAATAGTTCAAGTCTCTCTAGTATTATAGTAAAAAACAAATAATTAGAACTGCTGAACATATATTTAAGTATATTATAAGTTAGTAAGATAAGCAATATATTTTTAAAATTGTTAACCCAGATACAAAGAGTATAAAGAGAAATACCTAGTTAACATAATTAACATTTTTTTTAAATATGATTATTTAATTTATATCTTTATGTTAAACATAATTTAAATTAAAAATAGTAATATTATTTATACTATTATGAAAATAATACTACTTGTCCAAATTTTGATTTATATGTATTGAAATACTCCAAAATACATTCTACTGCAGAATATGAATTTAAAAATATATATTTTTAATAAATGTTGTTTTATTTTAACCATAGTTATGGAAGAAAAATATTTTCAGAAGTAGTAATAGATTTTGAAACATTGTGTTTTACAATTAAATAACCACTATATACATGGATTTTAACATTCTCTCTTTTACCTATCAACCGTTTAATTTATAATTTTTTATAACAGTTAAAAATGTATATAAGAATGCAAAGAATATTATAAATTCTAAAATTCATCAAAACAGCTGATATAAATAAATTTTTATCTGAATTATTTTTTCGTATATAATAATTACTTTAAATCTAGAATCTAATGTATCTGCTGATAGTGGCTTATCATCAGCATGGCGTGTTGCACTGCGGTGTTTTGTTACTGTGGCAGAACCATTGGTCTTAGATGTTGAACTAGACACTAAACAAAAAAATACAATTTGTAATTAGGTATTAAGTTTAAACCAATTTTTTTAAATTTATTTGTAATCTATACAGACATTAAAATTCTTTTTTGTAACTTTTTTTAATAAAAAACAATCCTACTACTTAGTATTTAGTGCTTAAATTGTTAAGCTGGAAGACCCTGTAGCCTTGGGTAATAATTTCTATACTCCATGATATATATTAATTGAATCTATAAAAGGTGAAGTCAGAGAATGTACAAAAATATGCCAGTGGCACCCCCTAAATAAAAAATAAATCCTTTACATATAACTTTTTAGATTTTGAGTGGATCAAGTCATTGAGTATAGATACAAGTAACTTAATAATTTGTAATTTTTTAATAATTTTATATCGTGACTTATGCTACTAAATGTAATATTAGCATAGTATTATATAATGATTTAATTAATGACTATAGATGTGAGTAGAATCAAAATATGTAAAAAACCATTTTGTGATCAATTAAATTGGAACATAAATAATTAAAAACAAATGCCGAAATATATAGTTTTAAATAATAACTTACTACTTTTTTGTCTGGTAGTTCTAGTTACTGTAGCTTTGGTAACTGGCCTTGAAGGACGTTCTGCTGTTTTTTTAGTTCCACTGTTGGATTTTGTTGGATACTGCTTAAAAATCTATAATGAAATGAAATAATAATTACAAACTTCTATATAATACCATTAATAGTATAATATTATATGGTTAACATTTAATAGCTATCTAAATTTAATATATTCTATAATAATATAGATGTAATGTATAATGTTATAAAACTCACAGTGTCATAAAGATTACTATGAAGTAAGTCACCCAAATTCATTTTTGTCATTAAAAATGAATTTTCTATTAAATTTCTTTGATTATCAAAAATATCTGAAAAATAATCTTCAATATTTTGTTCTGAAAAAGGAAAATAATAAATATAAGTTAAATACACACATTTGATAATAAACACAATTTATATTACTTTCACACTCAAATTCACTCAAAATTTCTTTCATATTTTTCGATTGGTTGGCCATTGTTGCATTCACAGAAGTCATGTTCATGTCGGCAGATGAACGCTTGACAGTTCTTCTCTTAGTACGTGGCATTTTAGATTAATGACTGGCAAAATTAATAAATATTAATTTGAGTGATTATAGTCAGATTCGATGCGATAGAAACGATAAAAAGATTCTTCACAAGCAACAGACGATCACAACACGAATTAACGCAAAATTGATGGACACCGAATTATTCCTAACCGAACTCTTGTACAAGTATAATATTAAAACTAAATAACAGATAGTGACTTGTCAGCCAAGTTATTTACTATACCAAAATACTGAACCTTTTTGGTATTGTACGAGTCGGACTAGGCACTAAAAAGGTAAATGGCGCATAAAAAAACACAATACATTAGTACAACAGAATAATTATTAGAGATTACTGTTCTCTACATAACTATATCACCACGATCGACATTCAACAATGGTAATAATGGCATTTTGAATTTTCATAATCAAAATTCAGAGCAACGGATCAACGGTCTGTCGCGCCATCTACCGTCGAATTCCCATTGCACAAATGACCGTTACAACAAACCATTTATATTATATCTAAATAAAAATATAAGAACACGATTACCAGAGTACCGAACAAAATTTAATGAATATTTTCATGATAATGTTAGGTTATCAATTTATCATGATTTATGAGTGTTTTCATGATAATTGATAATATGATCTGTATCTGTGCTTATAGACTATAGTGCTTATACTATACATTAAACTAGAGAGCCTTGATGATATTATCAAGGCTCTCCACATTAAACTGTGGCCCTGAACTTAATACATTTGCGTCTTTTTTTCAATGCGTTTATACGAGGCTTGTCTTTATAGAAATGTGACTTATATTATGTAGAATTCAATGGAACCATTTTTATTTGGCATTTTTTACATTTTTCTTTCATATTATTTTGACAAAACTAAATATTTGAAAAAACTAACGTATTGTACACTCAACCCTTCTATTATTTCTTTAAAAATACCGATTTATTTTTTGTAATTATTTGTTTTTGCTGACATTATTTCTTATCTCCGTTTTAAATTTAATTTTGGCCCTGTCAGTATAAAAAAAGCATATTCAATGTATACAATTATTAGCAATGTTTAAATTAAGATGAATAAAATAATAAATGAATGATTGAAAAATATTAATTTTAAAACAATAATTTTTTTAAATATGTTATTTTTTGGTATTTTTAGGGTCATTTTTTTTATGTTTATTAGTCATTATAATACTTTTTTTGAGTGCATTTTTTAAAGATTTTTAGGTCATCAAGTTCCGGACCCTAATTATAATGAATCTCAGGTATATAAAAAATTTACTAAATCTGTCATTTATAAAGTCTATGCTATAAACTAAAATACTATAAAAGACTCGATACAAAGATAGATAACGATTTTTTAAAACACATTAATTACACTTTACAGTGACGAAGTTACAGATAGTTTTTCTTCCATTTCAACATTTTCTAAACTGAGTGAGTGAAATTGTGTTTACAAATATTTTACACTTAAGTTATACGAAAACTTTAATCTGAGTTATATTCTAAAAAAGTTTCAAATCTGGAAAAAAAATTGTCTTTGTTTGCATTACTAAAACTTAAACGAATTAGAAATGAGTGAATACAAATTATAAATATAGTAAATGATAAACCAGCATCTCAAGAATCAAATTTAAGTGAATTGCACTTTGGTTCAAACGAAATTCGTAGGTATTTTTTTCCGTGGGATTATAAAACAATTAAAGAATAGTAATGGAATAATTTATTGTAATTCATTTATTTGCCCATTTTATGTATTTTATAAAGTTGTATATATTAAGAAAAAAACTTGTTTGAACGACAATTCAATTTCCCATAATATTTTATGACATTAAATACTGAAAGAATTGAATAGAACTTTTAAAATCAAATGATAACTATCAAAAAATTATGTGACCTGAAAAAGTATTAAATGATCAACAGTTACCAGACAATAGAACATATTGTATTTACTTTGAGACTTGAGTTCTAACTTCTAAATAGGCTAATTACTTTAATTTAATGTGTTATATTTTTAATATGTAGTCAATGTATATTGATAACAATGATAACCCATTTAAGTGTGAATAAAACCAATTCTGAATTCATTAAAAAAGCATAATAACTTGTCTAGTTGTCTGTGAGATTCCATAGAATTTATAGTATTCGGGAAAAATTATTAAAATTTTATTATCTTTCAGAAAACAACTAAAATACTAACGGGGGGTGAAGCGAATCCCCTAAATTTTTAGGATGAATTGATTAATTATGAGAAAACAATAATATCTTATTACTGGTACCTGTATTTAATTGTATTATACTTAGGTATAAAAAATTCTTCATCATAATAAAATAAACAGTGTACATTTTAAAATACCTTATAATATTGTTCTATGTAATTTTAATTAAAAATATTAAATAGTACAGCTGTCGGCTTATATTACCTTATCGGTACTTACGGGAATAAGAGTATTTCCACGATATTGTAGATACGAATGGTGTACTAATTAATGATTATGGCTAGAGCGCGGATTTTTATGCATTAAAAAGTATCGAAATATGCCATATAATATAAAGTAAAAATCATAAAAATATGAAAAAAATATGCAATAAAAATCATGAAAATACCTAACAAATCTGAAATTATTTTTTTATGTGACTATTATAACATGTGAATTAACAATAAGACAATGAATAAAAATTAATAATTTATTAAAATGTACGATATATGTATTGTTATGTTCTGCAGGTGCACGTCATCGAATATGTTAATTTAAAAATTAACCGCCCTCCCAAGTTCAGGTCTAAGTTTGCCATTGACGCCACTCTATGTATTTTGAAAGAAACCCTCATTTACACTCCAACCATATTGTGTCCAGTCATTTATATCATAATTTATGTTGGTTAAGCAATTTTGAATTTATATTTTATAGTAACATAATTGTCATCCACTAATAATATTAAATGAAACATTTAACAGCTTAAAAAAAGTGTTTTAATGCTTTTTTCTTTAAAAAAAATAGTATAAAATATTGTTATTAATTTTAAGAAACATTAATTTAGTATAGATTTAAAAAACTTTCTTCCAGCACAATGTTATCTATCAAAAATGTATTATGTGCATTTACAATATAGGATTTAATATTATTTTATTAATTTGACAAACATGTAACAGTAATAGATAATAATTAATTACATCATAATTCAGAATATAGCATAAAAAATTGTATTATGCAAATAAAAAAAACAAACAAATTTTACTTGAGCCGGACATATAGAGATTTTTGGATATTATAACATATTGAGCTATAAGATGTGATAATTAAACTTCAAAATCCATTAGTATTTAAGCATAGATTAATTATATAACTATAAATATTAAATAATCACAATAAACAAAAAATATTTACTATTAATTTAAAGAATATACTAAACATTAATTTATATTTAAACTAAATTACTTACCTACGTTATTAATTTTTATGATTAATGTTTTGTTAAAAAAATATGAGATATACTCAGATAATTAATAATTTTAGTTTGATAAACCATTTGTTGAATAGACTGTATAACTGATGTATAGTAACAGACTACTTTTCCAAAAATAATTTCATTGATTTTTAGATTATTTTAAAAATGAAACAATTAATAATTAATTCTGCTCATGCTTACAAATTTAATATCCTCATTATTCAGATAAATATAACAGTAACAAATATACACCAAAGTTAACCTTGCTTTAGTGTTTTTTATATTTGTATTTCAGTTAATTTTGTTTCAAGATTAATAGTTTAAATACTTATAAATTGTTTTTATTCTTTTTTAAATGATAACATTAATTTTCTTATTTATATATAATTAATAATAAATTATTCCTGTTAAATTTTAGTTAGGTAAGGACAACCACCTACTTAAATAAAACACAATATACTTTTACTTAAATATTTATAATAAATAAAATAAATGTTTAAAGTACAAAATATTGTTAATCAGACTTAGTTTATTGTTGTTGCCCAAGTACATAACCTCTACCCCAATTGTGACGACGATAATTTAATCCACCTTCACCTTCTTGTTGGTTTCCTGCTGCTGGGGCTGCAGTTGGTGCTGCTCTAGTTGGTGGTTGACCAAAACCGTGAACTGTTCTTTGATTAGGAAAAAATTTGTATCTAAAAGAACAAGACACATGAAATTAAAAAAACTATATGGTTGCTTTTCAAAAGGTATCTTATTAACTATTAAAGCGATTAAACCACTCACAATATTTGAGGTGTTTGTATAAGCTGTGGTCCACCCATTTCTTGTGGATATTTGAACATAAGGAAAAAATATAAATGACCCACAATAATTCCTACTAATTCCTGAAGTCCCCTGAAAAATAAAATTAAACAATATTAGGTATTTAATACTATAACGACTAATTACTAAGTAATATAATATACTAGATTATTCTACTCATTAATTTGTTAGTTAAATTATATTTACCCTCCAGAAATGACCAAATTGAATCCAAACAATACCCATGGTAAATACATGGCTTTGAAACGAGTTCCAAACCAAAAACTAACAATTACATCTTTGTTTAGTTGGCACCATACATATAATACACTTAATACCATAGGATCCATAAGTACCTGAAAAATTATTTTATTAAAATTAAATTTATTAATTTCAAGGACATAATGAAAAATAATTAATTTACCGGTATATTTGCCAGAAGTCCAATAACGACACAACATAACCAATTAAATATAAGTAAAAAAAAGTAATCAGCAGGTCTTCCACTAAATGAATCTATATCAATATAAAAGTACATATTTAGAAACATTAAAATTGTTCAACATAATATATTAATAAATTACTGACCAGTTTCCAATCTTAATGAATAACTATAAAGAAAATAACAATTGACTAAAAAATGAAATCCATTTCCAGGTGATAATGGGTACATTAACAAAGCAGTGGCTGCTCTCCAAATCTATCTCACAAGAGTAATAAATATTAGTACAACACAAGTTATAGACTTTCTATGATGTGGTATGAAAGTTATGTAAAGCCAATCACCAATAAGTTTTTAGTAACTTACCTCAAATTTTTTGATAAATGGTTCATAAAATAACATAAAGTTAAAAGGATTCAAAATGCCAAACCGTCCAGCCAAAGTCAAGCAAGCAGTCAGGGTAAGCCATCGTTTGGTGAAATAAGGTATGGATGTAAACCAATCCGGAAGTTCGGCCATCTGTAAACAAATATAACTACATCAAATGGTAAATATTTAATGCGACTGTAACGATAATATCGCCGATGTTAAACAAAAAACACACCAAAACGATAATGTCAATTTATATTGTTTCTTACCACGTTATCGTGAGCGGCAATGAATTTATCTTTTAGAGAAATTGATCCACTATAAAGTATTTAACATCATACGCGATCGGATTTTCGGTAGAAATTATTATTGACGAATGGTACAACAATACTGAATACTATATAGTAAATTACTATTTCAAATAATAATATTAATTATTAATGATTTGTAAAAATGAACTACCGTCTACCGATTAAGAGAATTCTGGATTATTCTTTGATAAGACAAGGTGATAACGCAAAAGAACACGTATGTACTATGTATAATAAGAGTTGTAGCTCGTGTATTCACATTTCACACCAACTTGCAAATAGTTCTGGATAATATAGTGAATACGGTGATGGAAAAGTTCTCCCAAAGTATTTTTGTCCTAATGTACAACTCTCCCAATTCTGGAACTCATATTTTCAATGGTAATTTAATAGCTGGGGCCTTACGGCTATACCATAAATCAAGATAAATCTTAAAGTATATCTTAATTAATCCATTATACATCCGGAATTCACCAACTCTTTATCATTATAGCAGCAATCGAATATCTAATGTTTGTCCTTTGTGGCTTATGATCGTATACGTTGAAAAACAATCAGGAACTTAAGAAGTCATCCATTTTCAATCAACACTACTAAGAGTATAGTACAATTGTCAAGCAATATTGTTACCTATTCGTTAAATTGAATGATAAAAAAATATATTATACCAAAATAATTATATTTATCAACGTCAATCTTAATTCTTGGCCTCTTGGGTACAATATTAGATAGTAGATACATTATTGTAAGCAATAAAATTTAATAATTTGGTTTTAATATCGAATAAGTAAAATATTTACAATTAGATTTAACGTACCTACTACCATTGATTTTAGAATATTCTATACCACAGTACCGGATCTATAGGAGGGCAATCCGGGGCACGTGCCCCAGGCGCTACTCATAAAGGGGCGTCAATTCAATTTCTAGTTACCTATACAATAAGTAAAAAAAAAAAAAAATGTTATTGGTATGAAAGGGCACCAATTTCATATTTTTCCCCGGTTTAAAAAATGTTAGATCCGGCACTGGTGAACCAGCTAGTTGTTAAAATATTGTATAATTTACTATTTAGCCATAGTTAAAAGTTAAAACAATTTCAACTAATTGAACACAAAATTAACAGGCAATACGCAATCACATGGTTAAGGTATGATTTCACACACTTAAGTGATAGTTGGTAGTTGATAAGTACCTACCTACGCATTAGTGTTACTACTTTTATTACTTACTAGTATAATAATAATCATTAATCATAAAACTAGTTGCTATTATAGGTTGTACACAGCACACAAAAATCATTTCATATTTTCATAGTTGCACGATATAATTTGATATAAATTGCACCTTTCACAGCTATAGTGTCGCCAGGTTTTTGGTTAAAATAATATCAAACGGGATGATGTTTAATAGTAGTTTAACTCATATATTAGTACTACTTATGGAAAAATTAATTACTTTAATTTCTCAATGATATACATTAGATATCATTAACCTACATGTAATATAAATATATTAAAAAATATTTTTTTAAATGGAGATCGAGATATTTTCATCGCTCTGAATTGTTTTCGAACGATAACTTATCCATATCAAATTTAACATTTCCAGTATCATGTTCACTCACTTATAGGGTACTTTTTAAATCTATTAAACATAGCGAATTTACCTGTATATTTTTCTGCGACTCATATCTGGATTTCATATTTTTCGGATTTGTTTAAATAAATATTATAATTTATGACCAATCCTCAGTTACTCGATTGTAATATTATGAAATTATGTTTTCATAAATGTATATTTATAATTTAATATTATATAATAACACAACGCAGCCGTTACGCTAGAACAACTGTAACGTTGCATTGTAATTAATAATATTAATATTGTATAATACTAATAAGTACCATTATTATTATACATCCGTAATAATATTGTACACGACGACTAAATAACTTAGGTACCTACTTTCATATTTTTTATTAGTTCAAGTCATTAGGTGCTCGTAAAATGTAAGTTTGATAAATTACCCGCTGTTACAATCACAGGACGATGAAGTAGAGGGGTTCGTAGACCTGTTGAACGCCATTTTGTAGCTAAGCGGCTATCGCATATTTTTACTCGTTTCAAATATTGACAAAAAACCTAATACCATAGAAGTTTTCTTTTTTTCAACAACTGAAAAAATAAAAATTGACTAACAAAACGACTAAAAAAAACACAATTTCCAAAAAAAAAATAAAAATACTTTATTCATAGGTAATAAAAATAAAATAGACCAATTAATCTGGATTTGATTATTTGAAACGTAATCGTTATCTGTTACCCATTCCGAAAATACAAGAAGTTATACATATACAAAAATAGATATATAATAATATATACTGTAACGGAATGAACAAGACGAGAAATGTCATGTAGGTATAGAAGAAGACAATTAAAAATTATAATTATAACATTACATAAATGCAAAAACTTAAGCCTTATAGCTAAAAATAGTTTTAGTTTTGAATGTGCATAGAGTTTTAATATTATTTAATAAAGAATAAGAAAAATTTGGGAATGCGTCAAACGACGTTATCCCCTGAGCCCAGTCTTGTGTGTGCATCAACGCTGTGGCGATCGCGTTCATTTGCGCGGCTGATGGATGGTCGCCTTCGGGCACGTGTTATGTTTCATCTCATGGCTGGGCATCGGTTTGTCATGAGTCTTCTGAACGGCCTGAGTTGGATAATCGTTACGAGCATGCACCGGAACCACTGACTGCTTGGGCGGACTGCAGTGAACATGGTAAAAAAAAAGAGGTTAATTGATGTGGAAAACAAAAATAATCAACGATGATTTGATGAACGCCACGCAGAAAGCACCGCGTGAATTTTAAGACAACATATTCGTTGTAAGTAAGTTTTTTACGTTTTTACGTAAGCAAGTTATTAATGTTTAAGATAGAAAAAATAATATCTTAAACGTGTTGAAACACACGCAAAATACTCGAAGACAGAAAATAACAGGACATAATATCATATTACAATCGTTAAAGACGTAAATATATATAGATAAGTATTAATGAAAATAATCTTTTAGTCTCCGTTCTTAATACTTTTTCCGGCTGAAAATTCATCATTACGATATTTACCTAGTCGAGACTTTCAAAACCGAGTTGGCTTCATCGGCGGCGGAATTCTTGTCGGCGTTTGAGTTGACGTTCTTGTGCTGCACGATGCGCATGCCACCGGCTTTTACTGTGAAAAAAAAAAAAACAAAAACCAAAAATGGACAGATAAGTAACCACGCATGAAGCGAGACACGTGGACCGGCCGCGTTCTACTATTAGTAATAATTACCTGCTTGGGCATGTCCGGCTTTAAGTTTAGACTCGTCTTCCATGGCGACGAAAAACAAAAAATTGTATGTTCAGCAGTAACGATTACGGATGGACTAAAGAAGTGTACGATTTTCGTGTCTCTAACACGGTTGCCGAATGAACAGTGAAAGTGAAGATTATCGAACAGTGTTCGAGCGCGGCAATATGCTGCGATCAGTGTCGATACTGCTGGTGGAATCGGAGTGACGGACGATGGTGCGACGCGTGTAGGGGACCCGGACGTAAATGCAAATGGTCGACACTCGACGGAGCTGCAACAACGCAATAACAACAACAAACAACTTGACTACAATAATAGTACAATAATTCGTTGTTTTCCGGGTAGACGTGATCGAGGTGGTGTTGGTGTTGTTGACTACGATCCGCAGTTCTGTCGCGTCGCGTTGTGTTTAGTGTTTACGTTTATAGTGTTTACTTTTTGGGGCATGCCTGCTACGACTGCAGCAGCAGCTGTTCAAACCCACAGCTGCTGCGGCCGTCAGCTGATTATACCGCTGGACCGGGGACGAACGGTCGTTTCGATCAAATGTCGTCGTCTCGTCCGTCCGCCCTCCCGCCCGCCGACGAAATAGAATAGTGACTACCTACTAATAAATAATTATATGTACGGATAGGTTAGTAGTGACTTTTAAGTTTTAAGTGAAAATGAAAAATTCAAATCGCAATCGTAACAATTATTTGGATATTTGGAAACTACACAATATTTTCAAGACGCAATGAATATATTGATATAAACCGTTCGGACCGACCAATCGTCGTTTCAGAATTGTGTACGGCGTATCAAGTATCTACTACCTATTACTCGTGTTAATAATATGTCATGTTATGAATTTATGATGCAAGGCTTGGATTTAAAATAATTCGTCAATTACACTTTGTAAAAGTACTTTTTATCAATAGGTAACAATAATATTTTGATATGTAATAATTTCGAATAATATTTCTATTTATTGCACTAAAATTAAATTACATAAAATAGGGTTGTATTAATTAAAATTATAGTCTGGCAATAATTTTAACGTAGAAGTAAACATCTTAAATAAATGTAATGAAATTGTTTTCTATCACCATATGAATATATAATATTAAGCCACTTATTTTAAATAATTTATACAGACGTGTTAATAACAATTAAAACATAATATATTATATAACTAAAAATTATCTACGACCGCAATGGCATGCCAGTCATGCCATACCTGGATAAATTATTTAAAAGATAAGAAAATAGTTTTATATTATTATATCTGTTAAATTTGGACATTCAACAGGAAATTTTTAAGCAAACCAAAAATAAGTATTATTTAATAAATTGTATTTTTCATGAACTGTATGGATTTAACAGATAAGAATCGTAGATGCTTGAAATTGTCACCAAATATTTAAATAATAATAATGATTTTCTATTTACAATTAAAAATATTTCTACTCTTTTTTTTTTTTAAAGTTTTTTTTTCAATAAATGTGGATTAAAAATAATTTGTGATTAAATACTTGAAAATCGAATACAAAGCTCCTCATAAATTGTTAATCTTAAAAATGTACAAATTATTTTATAATTAGAAATTCAGGAAAAAAAATTTTTATACCAAATATTTCAAAATGTAATAAAAGATTCTTTATAAGTTTTTCAACCTATGCTACTCATTGACTATAAAACCGTTTGAATTGTAAAACCAATAAGCTCTTAAAATACATCGCACTTCTTATCGCACGCCTAGTTCGACATTTATGTTTGTGCTTTCTTCTATTCGTATGAACGTTTTGTATGGTAAAGCATGTATAATTATGTATTTTAGTTTTATTTTAGATTATTTAAGTTGCATTGCTACAAACAAACAGACATTGCTTTCTGAAGTACGTTTGAATAATAAACAATAATTATTTTTTTTTTATTATATAAATTAGTAAAGTTTTTTTAAATTTTTTTAATCCCATTTTACTGAGCAGATAATAATAAATTATTAAGATTAAATTATTTTTGCCCGGCATAACTGCAATTATGGAAGATATGAAAACCTAATTTATAAGGTATTCTAGGTATTATTTAGTAAAATAATACACAAACAAAAAAACCCATAGGTACTATATATTGAATTATTTGGAGTTATACGAGATTTATTTTAAGAATTTTAACTTTTGATAAAAAAAAAAATGTTTACTTTTTCAGTTTAATAATGATAATTTGTATTATTTCTGGTGTAATTACTATTTTGGTTGATAGAATAATTAAATAGCTTTAAAATAAAAAAAAGTTATGTTTAAAAATTAAAAAGTTTTGGAGAAACATCAAAAAATGCGTGGTAAGTTTTGGTTTTGTTTTAAAAAAGGTAAATTGCCCATAAAATGAAAAATAAAAAAGTTAGACCCCCTCTTTAAAGGGTATTTACTATTTTCTTCATAATTTTAGATATAATTTCGTACGACATCGGCCGTTCACTTTCTTTCAGAACACATTGCATGTATATAGGTGAACTAATTGGTATGAAAAAAATGCTTGCTATAGATAACTAATAATTATTTAAGTTATAATATTATAATATGATGGATAATATTGAATGATTAGTGGCTTTAAATTGCCTACTCAAAGCGCCGTCCAATATGTTATGTTACAGAAATAAACATAACAGTCAAACTTATAAAATATAGTTATGTATTAGAGAAAATCCAGAAACACAATAAATTGTAACATCATTAAATAAATATATTTATTTATTTTTACTTATTAGACACTAAATTATCTGTATAGTTAAAGTTTTTACGCAATATCTTTCAGAATTTATTTTTAATATTTTATATTCCTTTAAAAGATAATATATAATGACTATATTTTTATAGTATTACAAGTTAAAAAATGCTACGAGCCACGAAAATGCCAAACTAGACACTTAGACATTTAAGTTAAAGTTGACAATATTCTATTATATTAACAGCATTTATTTCTATTACAATTTTTAGCATCATTATTCATAAGTTCTCTTTCTAAATAGATATCTACAAATCAAGGAAATGTAATATCTTTTAAAATCATTAGAATTAGTTGACTCAGCTTTAGAAAAACTAATTAAAATTCAAAAAGATATGGATGGAGTAAAAAAGTGAAAGGTATTTTTGTTCAAAAAATGAATGTGGAATTAAACTAGTTTAATTTGTATATAGTTGTTGAAGAAAATTTTTTCAAAATTATAAGCCGAAAATGCGAAATAATACTAGAAGAGTTGTTGGAAAATTGTATAATTAATGATTAACTTCAAAAATTTACAGTTAATGTACATAATAAAATTCTTGACACTATCATAAAAAGTATGAAAAGAAGATTCCTTAAGCATTAAAACTTATACGAGTATATTGATTTATCATGCCTTTCGCCAACTAACTTTCAAGAAATAACTGAAGGTAAACTATATGATATTGAATTAAACACATTAAGTGGTTTATTAACTTAAACAGTTTAATAAAAATGCTTCAAATAAAAATATAAAAAAATGAACTTATAAGTTTTGCTAAGAAATATTGGAAAAAATTAAAAATAAGTACTCGTATTCCTGAAACCTATTATGCAACTACAGTAAAAGCCGCTTATTAGAAACACTTTGGGACCAAGGTGAATTGTGTCAATTAACCGATTGTTTCTAATAAGCGATTGAAAAAAAAAAATGAATAATAGGTACGCGAAAAAAATATGTATGTATGTATGTACCTATATTGTATAATTTAAAAAAGTATGCACAATTATGTATATTTTACGATATTATGTAAAATATTTATCATTCGTAATTTGTTTTTTTACGTCGAGTAACTCCATGACCATATTTTCATACGAGTAATATTGCCCCTTTAGCTTTGTCACTTATTTTGAGTGCGTATGTGTGTTCAGGTAGAGCTCCAAAATAAAGCCCAGTCTCGTCCGCATTGAAAATATCAGAGCGTGTGTATTGGGCTAGCAAGTTGGTCAAATGAGTTTCAAACCACGAATGGTCGCATGAAAATTGGCTAAAATCTTAGCGTTTAGACATTTTTAGATTTTTAGAAAAAGGAAACACTAATAATCTTTACATACGCACGCTGAAGCTAAACTACAAACGGTACGACCAGTACGTACAGAAAGAGCATTCTCGCGATAAATTACAGTAAAAATAAACGTAACGACAGCAAAGATAAAATTGAAGTACATTGGTTATCGCTAGATAATCGGTGTATATGTCAACTGACCTTCTCCCAATTGTTTCAAATAACCGATGTGATGTTTCAATAATCCGATTTATTTTCAATGTTATAATATACGGCCGATCCGTCCCGAGACATTTTGTTTCAATAACACGATTGTATCAATTATCCGTGTTTCTAATAAGCGGCTTCTACTGTATTTATATGAAAAATAACAATGAAAAAGAAGAAGTATTAAAAAATACATAAAAAAAACTACCTTAATTTAATAACATTTTGTAAGAGTTTTAAAAGCTGTTTTTTTTTTTGTTATATTGTCTTAACAAATTTACAACTTCTATTTTCAAACGTACACAAATTTATATCTTGCATATTAATATATACCAACAAGTAACATTATCTTCAACGCAAGTAACACGTGAAATATAATTTTTTCAGCTTAAGAATATTAAAATTTAAAACAAGAGTATAAAAGTTTAATATTTGAATTAATTATAATTTTAAAAATTTTAACTTTTTAGCATAGTAAAATGGATAGTTCTTAGAATTTTTATTAGTTTTACCAACGAATTATGTCTGTCTGTTATTTTTGCCCTTCAGATCAATTTTAAAATTTAAGGAGTTAATTATTTAGCTATTAAAAATTATAAAGTTACATTTCCAAATGAAAACATCAAAAATTTTTTTAATTAATAATGTCTCTAAAACATACTTAAAATCATCACCTGCGAATATATTAATGAGTAATGACTGTAGGAAACACTATAGATATTAATTTTAATTCATAATTGTTTATGGCTGTAAAATTATATATCACATAATATATTATGTACTTTTTTTTGTTTATTTTTATTTTTTTTTGAATTGAATGTAAATGTTTATATTACTCGTACCTAATTTTATTGTATCTGTGTTACTATACATAATTATATATATATTGTTTTATAAATGGAATCTTTCCGTCAATAAAACAATAACAATAATACATTTACGTATTACATAAAATAAAAAAAAAAAAAGGAAATTAGAACGATGGTTTTATACTCACTATATTGTATTACTGGTATTAGGTACTGTCTATACTTCTAACATGGTTATTTCAATTATACTAAATAATTAACTTTTTTTTCATCTTATATTTATTATGTTATAGATAATGTTTAATGTTTGGATTATTTATTACACATGTGTAATAAGTTCAAGTAAAAATCCTTTTTGAAATAAATTCCATTGTCC